ATATAAAAATAAGGTTTTAGAAATTTAGAGGTCTGGGACCATCACCATTGGCACGTCCCTATGTTGATAGGTTTGAAAATGTTGTTTAGTGTCTTGGAACATTCAAGGTTATACTACGCAAAACCATATAGCCTTTTTAAGAAAAAATGTTACAAAATTTTAAAAGTAACATCAAGTATCGGTATCCAGAGAAAAAAACAATTCAATCGGCTCAACAAATAATCCTCGAAAGCAGGTTTTGGAAATTAACACTCGAATTGCCTATTGCATTTCTTCACAGAATGATATGGAGGAAAAACTTGATTGTATTAAATATTTGAGGATATAGAAAGAAATTAGTTGATGGATTTGGCCCAAAATGAAGATGATGGAATTCGAAAATTTTCCATAAAATGCTTAGTCATAAAAGAACACAAATAGCAATTCGTGATGTTAGTATAAATGCGAAGTGTATTTCTGATCTTGATAGGATACCAATAAAAATTAGTGGTAAACTTTTAGCCAACCGGTTATATCATGCTAGAGATGATATCATTTGTACAGAGAAATCGGTTTTCATTAATGGTCATTAAACTCTTAATGATAAATGAAATTATTGAATGGTGCGAGAAACATAAAAAGAAGTTAATTGGGTCTAAAGTTGATTTTGAAAGACATACAACTCTTCAAATAAGAATGCTTAGATGAAATGCTCCAAAATATATGTTTTGGTGTTAAAATGAACGGCTGGATCCGGGTTGCCTAAACTCTTTATGACATCCATCATGAGTTGATCTCTTATGTCTGAATTTCCAGTTGCATCAAAATGACCCCGCTTTCTCCTTTCATGTTCAACAAGAAGAAATTAATCACAATGTGTTATGTGATGCATAAATTGGCAATAATGGGTTGATGGTTTCTCGTTGCTTCTTCTACGTAGATGCTCCGATAATACTTGAGTTGTTATGTGAAAATGTGAGAATTATTTTCTAAGATTTTTATGTTGCTTTCACCTAGCTTTTGTTCTTAAATAAATTTTCAAAAAACAAGTTATTGGATGTTGGGGTTAATTCGATTGTGGTTCAAAAACGAGTGGGGGTGGTTGATTGTGAAAGACACATCGTTGGGGTAGTTTTAAAAATACATTGTAAAAATTATTTGATTTTTAGTAACACAAGTTTGTTGTTTTTTAATAGTAGAAAACATAAGGTCTCGTACTTTAAAACAAGTTTTAAAAATTCTTTAAAAATATTCTTTTGTGCGGAATTAGGTCCCCAAATACCAAAATATAAAGTTTTGCTTAAAAAGAGCGAGACATTATTCAATTTAATAACACCGATTCAAATGCAACCACACGACTTGAGACCTTCAAATTATTTTCGTTATCTTTTAAGCAACTCTTAAGTCTTAAATCTGAAAACAAATCGAAATAAGTTAGACAATGAAATTGTGTATTGATAATACTCGAGGTTGACTCATTTAGAGTAATGATAATGACAATCATCATACTCGAGACTAACCTCCAAAATCAAAATAGAAATCAATAAATACCATAAGTATTAATAAAAAAAAAAAATAGAGTATTAAGACTCAAATAACCAAGAGCAAATGGTATATGGACCCATATTAAAAAAAAAAAAAAAAAAAAAAAGATTATAAAATCCATGAATCAAAACTTAAAGAGTTTAATAACTCAAAATTTCTATCCATATAAAATAATAACCAAATCAAATATCAAAGAGTTTACTAATCCACAATTGGAATTAACATTCCATTATCCAAAACAAGAGTTATTTTAGAAGTATTCCAAACCCAATCAAAATGAGGGTTCTAAGGACCCAAACCAAACCAAAGATGGTAATTATCCAACTCATAGTTCCAGACAAATCCAAAAGGCTAAGCATAAGTTAGCAAAGATTTAAAAATCGTGTCAAAGTTCTAAAAGGGTAAATATGGCATAAGTAACCAAATAATATGCAATGCACGCAACTCTTTTCAACCCGTGTTATTCTTATAAACTCCAACTCACTAAAATTGATGGTTTAACTTGAGACTCATAGGAAATGGTTACCTCCAACTTTTGTCCAAGTTTAAACAAAACTAGAAAATCAACTCTAGCTCACATAAAGAATAACTAGCCTCTACTTGCACATGTGAGGATTATATAAAAGTCTAATCACAACAAACCAATTGGATAATTGTCAAATTTGGGTTCCTAAGATCTCTCGGTCAACTCATCATACCATGTCTGCAACAAGTAAGATCTCAAAACCATTTCAAACTATACATAGATTTTTTCTCAATACAATAAATATCACAACAATATTTCATGAATGCAAATAAGTATTTAATGGTATAGAGTATAGACATAGAAAGTAAATGCCACAAATAACATTATCAAGTGAAATCAAACAACAAAATATATATGATATCAAACTTCAAGCAGGAAAAACACAATTCAAATATAGAATCAAAAAGTCAAGTGTGATAAATCAACATCAAATCCTCATAACATCGCTATGTAAGAAAAGTAATGATATAAGTCATTTTTTTTTTCTCTCTTCTTCACGTCGTTCTAACATACCAAAGTATAAAAGATAAACATATTGTCTAAATGTATTTTTACATTGTTCTTAAATAGACTAAAGTTTTGACCAACAGGTGAAAATCTCAAGCTTAAGATTAGACTTAATTATCTAGTCTTCAAAATACAATTCATTTTGACCTTTATAATTTGATTTATCTCTTTGAATAAATCTAATTTATTCTAATTGAAGTAACATGTAGCTAATAAATTATAACTAAGCAGCTTAAAAATTTATCTAACTATTTATTTTACTCCATTGACGAACTTGTGTGTCAAATGCTTAGCCCACCATATTACTCATTTGGGCTTTGATATAATCAAGTAGAGTACTTAGCCTTAGCCCAGCTAAATATAAACAATAAATAAATAAATAAAACTTAATTTCTATATACGAAAAAGCAAGTTAACAGTAAAAAGGATTTTTCTGCCGTGCTCATCAACCTCCCCTTAGACTCGTCGGAGCTACAAATGGAGGTCCCAAACGCTTGCCGGAAAACACAAATCATACAGACTACAGCCTCATCGACTCATCAACTCAAATCAACTTGATCCCACGATCATTCCTGAACCTGAACTCATCTTGTTGGAGTTGCCGCCGCCGTCACCGGAAACCTAGTCTTCACTCTTCACCACCAAAGCTTCTCGTCGGAGGAATCGTTGCATCACCTTCTTCTCTCTCTCTCTCTCTCTCTCTCTCTATTCAACGGTTGGTCTAGATCGCCGGATGAAATAATTAAAACCCATCAAAATGCTCACTAGGAATGGTTGATAGCTTCATGCCAACGAAAACATCGAACAGTTATCATGAATCAAATCGATCTCGCCGGAGATATTAACTAGAGCCACCTCCTTTCCATTCATTAACCGGAGGAGAAAATCGGTACGCGGATCCGGTGACCACGCCACTTTAACATCACTTTCTATCTTCCGGTGACATCAACTGAAATTATCAACCTTATGGATCCCACCTGTGAACGTTAAACCTACCTGATCTCGTTAAATCTCACCTCTTAAGCTCGCCGGAAAACTCTTTCTCTCTCGCTAAGTATTTCTTCCTCTTCATCTCTGATTTCTGTTTTCAAATGGAGAGAACCCAACCAAGTGCTTCTGCCCAAATCTTGAATTTGTTTTATTATCGTTTGACCCTCTTGTTCCTATATCTCCACTTTACTCCCCTCTAGATTTCATTTAGTGAGTTATCCATCCTATACTTTTTACGCTTATACTCTAATAAATAATACAAAATTTTAATGTTTAGTATCTAGCAATATCTTATAACATAATTCTAGCAAAAAAAAAAAATAAATAAAATAAAATTGTTTTGAACTTTAAAAATTATTTAACTCGAGGATTACCCGAACAACACTATTTTATTCAAATTTTATATTTAATGGTCAAAGTATTTAGTCTCATAATTTGGATGTTACTGCTGTTGTCATATTCGAATTTCTTTTTGGCTCTAACATGACAGCAAACCATCGATAAATTTACAACTATACTTTATAATTGGAAAGATAAATGACGACTCTATTAAAAATAGTGTTGGGAAGTCTTATTATTTACTAGAATTGTTATTGTATTTGTACCATTAGTTAATCAATTAAATATTGTTAGTTGAAATTGACGATCATATTGTATCAATCAATTGAGACATATGTTGAATAGGTTATAAGAGTTTCAAATTAAAATTTTAATAAGATGCGTATTTGTAGTAAAGATAATTTAATTATTGTATTTATTTTTGTAAAAAATAAAAAAACTAGGCCTACACACTTTCTTCATAGGATGTCTATAATAGTGATTCCTTTTGACAATTTATTTCTATACTAGTGATTCAACAAATCCCGACTTGAAACCAAGTACAAAATTACGTTTTTGGTTCTCCATTCTCTAATGGGAAAAAGGAATTAACTTATTCATTGTTTATTACCCCCCTCACCTTTGCCAAATTCTAACTTTTGACCATTACTTTATTAATAAATATTCCACATCAACATATGGCATGTTACTGAGATTTTATAAATGATTTAGAAACGAAGACACCTAGAGCCTTCATGAATTGGATTCATGGATATTAACTTCATAATTCTAATTGGGTTTCTTCAAATTTAACAAGAATAATATAACTTTGAGTGTAATCTCACATTTTTCATCATAGGTTTAGTATGACACGAAAGCTACCTACAATTAAAACTTACAAAGTTAGGAGTATATATGGTTTTAATCATCTTTTTAATGATTATAAACTATAAAAAAGTACATGTGAAACCATAATTTCGAAGCTAAATATCATATTTACATAAAGACAAAAAAAAAAAAAAAAGATAATAAGAACTAGTATGGTATCATTGATCAATTCTCCACATCTGTTACATAACGAGGGATATCAAATTACAAAAAGAAAAAGAAAAAAGAAAAAAGAAAATCTGCTGATTTATGAACCAGAAGAAGAAGAAGAAGGGGTGATCTTGATGACGAGGCCAGGGAAAACATCATCGGGATCATGGATATGAGGGTTTTTTTCAACAATAAACGGGTCTCCACACTTATCGCTTATGGTATGAAGAGTTTCTCCTTCTCCGACCACGTATATCTCATCACATGGCCGTCGGTTCAGCACCGGCAGCCTGTTTCCTCCTCCTCCGGCGGTGGTGCTGAGGGAATAACTGAAATTCTGATCATCTCTAAAAGCGCCGGTGAGCATGAGGGCTACTATTGTAATCGCACAGTAAAAGCAAAGCGCATCTGCTACTGCTAGTGTTGTTTGAACTGTTTTAGATTTCATGAATTCAGGCATCTTCTTCTTCTTCTTCACACACAGTGAGAGGTTTTTTGAGATAACTGAATATGTTGATCGGAGTTTGAGTTGCTTTTATAAGAGAAATGGAGAGTAGTGGGGGAGACTTTTTTGGGGTGATGGTTATGGGTGAAGGTTTGGAGTTGCTTAATAAAGACTTGCACCTAGCAACGGATTTTCAACTGTAGCCATCGTGGGTTATATGACCATTTGTAGAAATATATAGAAATATTCTTTTACTTTTAATTTTGGTAATCAACATCACAATTATTTATTAATTTCATCCATATAAATTATGTCCAGTCCTAAATACATAATATAACTCACAATAAAAAAATTAGTTATACAATTAAGTATAAAAAACTGAATCCACTAATCAAAAGTCAATAGTACTAAATAACTATAAATAATAGAGCAACGTATTAAAAAAAAACACACACTAGTAGATTTTTGTACTTTTATTAATTACTATATTTTATTTCATTCAATAATAATTACTTATTTTTTTAAAGAAAATCCCACTGTGATTTTATATGTTCGGTTTAGAGGGTATTAAAATCAATGATTTCTCATTAACCTAGATGACATGTACATTCTAAAATAATATCTAACTTTTTAGAATGACTATTCTTTACTTATATGTATGTGTATAAATTGCTAAACCCCTATATGTATGTGTATAACTTGCTAAACCAACCAGTGAGATGTTATTTTAGAAAACAAGATGCTATTTTATAAACTATATTCGATGCTTAGTTGGTAAATGAGAAGTCATCTTATGTTTAACACATGTTAAGCCATAAATAAATGGTTAGGATTGTTGGTTCTATTAACCAACTTCATGATACAGGTGTTCTTTTTCTCTCGACTTTAAAAAAAATATGATCAAACAAAAATACATTGGGTGAAATGGGAGACAATTGTTGCCTCCAAGGATAAATATAGTCTTCATGTTGGGAGTTTTTTGCATTTAGTGGTGCGTTTCTTCAAAAGTGTTGTTGGCGTATTGTAAATGACTCGGATGCTCTTTAGGTGAATGTCATAAAAGCTTTGCATGGGAGTGTTGGAGGGTGGAGGTCGAATGATGACTATTGTGGTCAAGGATTGTTG